CATTCCAGTAGCGGCTGTTGTAGGTGTTGGAGGAGGTGAGGGTGTCATTCTCCGACGAGGATGCGTCGGCATGGAATGTCTTTGCAGCGGAAGAGCATTTGGGTGGCAGGTCGTCCTCCCTGGGAAGGAGAGGGCATGAGGGCACATGGAGGATGCTGCCCCACTTGCCCAACACCGCCCCTCCCCCCCGCCACACCCTGCTGGAGGCAACACCATCAATTCAAGGTGAAGGACAGCACCAATATGAACCAGCATTGCTCCTTGGCCCATTTGCTCATCCCTCTTTGCAGGATGCACCTCTGTGCACATTAATTGCTTCATGTGCCTACCGCTGAGGCAAACAACCCATGCTCATGTGTCTAGGGGAGCAAAACCAGTGGTTGTCACAGTCACTGGTACTACACAGGCAGTCAGTATGACTGTACCTGTACAACCAATGAAGCTGATCCAGGAAGCTACCAGAGGGAAACACTGTGTCTGTAACACCAGAGAAGATTACAGTTGTATGTCTAGAGCTTTTCAGCTATCACTGTCCAGTATTGTGGATCAGGATCCCCACCACGTGCAGAGTCACTCTCCTACGGAGCTAACAATGTCAAACCAAAGCTCTCAATAAAGGCAATACTGAAAACAAAATCTGTCATTACCATTCTTCATTTGCTCCCTACTTTTTCTGGACAGATATGGATCCCTGACCCAGAGGAACACACTCAGGATTAGCAAGAGTGAGATTTCTGATTGCCTTCCTACCAGCTGCTACTTTTGCTGGGTGATCAGAGGTCCCCTGCCACCAGCTTTCCCTGGCCCTTACCTTATCTCATTGGGAATCTCCTCCTCTTCTTCTTCTTTGTGTTTATTTTTCCAGTAAAACAGTGCCACGGCCACCAACACAATGCAAACAACGAGCACAACGGCGCCTGTGGCCACTGCTCCTGCAATCAGGCCAATGCTCCGGGGGTGGGCTGTGGGGATGATTGAACAGAGAATGGAGAAGAAATCAGGGCTGGGCTGTGGCCATCCATGAGCATTTGAAGCTACCGTGGCTTGGGAGGGGAGAAAAGCAACGTCCCTATTCCAGGGCACAATGATCTTCCAATATGAGAGGCACATGGTGGCTCACAGCAAACATGGTTACACACTTTACTGTCACAAGACAGAAGCAGGTGGCCAAGCCTCTCTTGGCAAAATACTTACGTGCAATGACTTGCAGGTCCAGAAGGCAAGTGCTGGTTCCAATGGCATTTGAAGCCACACATTGGTAAAGACCTGAGGACACAGTGCTGATATTTCGGAGAGTGACAGTGCCCTGGACTTGGTCTAGTCAGAGAGAAAAGAAGGTTTTAAATCCCTCCCCCCCTTGAGGAAAACCATGAAAAGGCAAAGCCAGCAAATAGAGAAATTTGGTGTGAGACTCTTAAGAGAGAAATAAATTAGGAAATAACCTTGAGATGGAAGCATTGTGCACACACACACACACAAAAGATTAGGTCTTAAGGAGCTTACACTATATGTTTCTTTTTCTTCTTATAGATGTATTTCTGCAAATGAAAGCTTGGGACTCTCAGTGTTGTGTGAGAAAAGGGAGGAAAGAAGAGATGTGCAATTACCTATACCCAGTTCTACCTGCTAAATTCAATCCGGCCCTGCAGAACCCCTGCTCTCCCATCCCTGGACTCCCCACCCCCTGCTCTGCCAATTTGCCTCATTCCTGAATTATGTAAAACTTAAATGCTTGCGTATTATTAAAATACAGCAAGATAAAGGGCAAAAGTACAGCTATCAATGCTTGGTCAGGACACCTAGGCTAAGAAATCTTATGGATGGGACTTGGAGATGGGCAATACCCAGTCTGATCAGAGCCTTGCTTTTACAGACATCTGAAAGGCAGCTCTGGCAGTAACTTATTGGAGAACAGTGTGAGAAGCTGGCGGTATTTTCCCGGCATGATTCTGCCTCCATTCTCCCAGTTTCCAACCTATCAGCCTTTCATTTGGTTTAAAATGGTGGTGAGTTGGCAGCCGAAATGTCCAGCCACATGCCAACATCTGGCAACCATGTTCTCTCTCTCTCCCATTTGACCAGACCCTTGTTCTTCAATGGGGAACATGTTTCTGTACCAAAAAAAACATGAAAACTGAAGTGGCCACTGGAGGGTACCTAGTCCGCCATGGGCTCTAGGAATCTTTGTTCCAATAAAGTGACCATGCAAGTGATAGCAGACACTCAATGAGCCATGCCACCTCTGGTGGCTCAGACAAAGGAAAGCCCAGGCTGTCACCTGGGAAATAAGAGGATAATCAACAGAACAAGCACCTTGTGTGGCAGTTGGGGGCAACTTGGGAACATTGTCCAGTTTCTCCCAGAGGTATGTTGGCCGGGGGATGCCTTCTTCCGAGCTGCAGGTCAGTGTGATATCGCTGCCCACGTCCAGGGACCCCTGGATTCTGCAAAGTGGGGCAGAAGGAGGAACTGCGAGAGAAGAGGGGAAAGTGACAGCAGATCAGGAAATATGACCAAACAGTGGAGTGCAGGCTCTTTCTGGAACACGCTGCTGGAAAGCAAGGACATGGGCATGAGCTGACAAGGGGACAAGAGGGAGGCAGCAGACAAAAACCCATTAAGGTTTGGGGGGGTGACAATTCACAAAGATTCCTGACCCACCAGCCCATGAAGGTTACAGACTACTGCTGACTTTCACAGGACCCAGTACTCTTAGATCCCTCCCTAGAGAAAAAGGTGAACTTTTCTGTGTTTGAGACAGCAAGGGTGGTGAAAGCTGACAGAGCTGCAGACAGAATTTGCTGTGGTTGGGTTTTGCTTTCGTGTCCCTATAATGGCACACACTCTGGAGTATTTAACATCCTAGGGAGCATCCAGTACTAATTGCTTTCATGAAAAGGAAACAAAGATCTAAAGTCATTCTCTTCTCCTGTTGCTATGCACAAAACTCTTATGGTTCCTTCAGCTCTCCAGGATGCCCTCATACTTTATTCATGCTTCTTTGCAACTCAACATCACAAGGCTGCCACAAAATCTTTCTCTCCACCATATTTTAAAACTCCATTATATGCTACCTGAATATGAAGGCTATGTGTCCTACAAACTCCCACAATACCCACAAGGCAGCCCATCCCTCACCTCAGGATGTCCATGGGCTCCAATGCATACACTACCACATTGCTCTGCTATGATGCACTATCATGCACAGAGGATCCCCTTGACCCTGTTCCTCCCCTCTCCCCCATAATCCAAATAAACACACCCAAGACAGTAAGTCCAATGACTCCAATATTCCTGACGCCTCGGTCGGGAAGATTGTTGACCAAACACTGGTATGTGCCAGTATCCGATAGCTGAGTGTTGTTGATGAAGATGGAGGCACTGGTGGTTGGCATTGTCACAGCAAACCCCACTCGCCCATAGAACTGGGGTGCGCCACCAAAGATCTGACCCCCTTGGTAGAGAATAACCTGGAAAAGAAAGGAAGGCTCAAGCAACACTCTTCAGGAGCTGAGCAAGGAGGAAGAACAGCAAGCAAAACATGGGCTTCCAAAGCCAAAAGGACGCATTCCTAAAGCATCTCTAAATAACCAGACCTCAATATACAGTAGTCCCAGGCAGACCCATCCTAGCAGCGGTGTTTTCTCTACAAGAGGAACACACTCTGCAGCCTGTTTTATGTCAATAAAAATGTGCAGAGAGGTAACAGACCAGATAGATACCCAAGTCTTCTGGCATAGCTGGATTGGCAATACCAGCCTGCTTCATATAATAGTCATTACCCACCTGGACAGGATCAATGTAGAGAGGCAGAGACTCTCTGCAGGTCAGTGAGTACTTTGATGGAAAGCATCCGCCCATTGGACAGTATCATTTTGAGTCTCAGACAGTAAGATCCTGCTATGATTTGACACTGCTTACTGAAGATCATTAGATGAACTGAATGACAGGCAAGGCAACCCTTGAATCTGCACAGCCTCTACCAGTCAGATGGCTTATATAGCAGTCTGTACTCAGACCAAGTCCCTGAGGAGCAAGTACTCTTCAGTGCAGGTTCTCATAACTGAATACCAAATGTGATGGGGCAGTGTGACCCAAGACAGATGCATTTCAGAGCAATGGCATTCTTCTGCTGTCAGAGTATGTGGGCAAAAACCAGGCCAGCGGATCTCAGGTTATGATTCTTGTGCCCACCACAATGGACTCTCATTTGCTAGTGTTCATAAGAATGGACTTGCATAAGCAACAGACAGTGAAAAAGTAAGAGGGGAAGTAAAAGGGGAGATGAGTCTATGAGAAGCCATGTGTTCTGGCACATTTTGCATGGATTTCACAGATTTAAGACTGCAGCTGCTCCCAGATCCTCCAAATCCCATATCCAGCACACCAAAACCTGGACTACATCTCCTGTGCTCTTTTGAACACACAAACCACCAGAGATCCAGGGCAGCCATACAGTATCACATACACCTGCCCCAATTGCACATCCAGCCAAGGCAGCCAAGGACACAATGTGCATCAGTTAACAAAGCGTTAAAGAAATCAGATTCATGTAAGATCCAGAGAGCATGTTCAGCGATGGAGGGAATGTTCTGGGACAAGAGACTCAGCATTGTAAAGGGACTACATCCAGATTGGTGTGAAAAGGGTGAAAAGGAAAGCCCCAAAGAAATGCATACTCCAGTAAGAAAGGACCTACCTGTTGAGGCTGGTTGGCGTTAGAAAGAGGAATGACCATCCAGATGACATTAAGGTTAGTGAGAGCAGCGTTAGTGGTGAAGGTGCAGGGCAATACTGCTGTCTGGCCTCGGGCAACCTGGATACTCCCTGAACTGACTGACACCTCCAGAGGACACACCAGACCTGGAAAGAGAAGGACACCCAGTTCAAGCATTTCAGGAGAAGGACACCCAGTTCAAACATTGAAGGTGGACCCATACACATGCAGGTCATGACAACATCATCCTGTTGTTACACAACTATCCCTTACCAATTACTTCAGGCTAAAAAGAATTATATTCCTCCCTCAACAGATCAGGCTGCTCTCATGTGGACATTTTTCACAGGCAAATGCAGATAGGCGGCCCTTTTAAGTGAGAGCACTCTAGTTTCAGAGCCTCTGGAAACAACAGGTTTTGTTTTGGCGACAGAGGAAGAGCCGGAAAAGCAGCCAAGCTGTGTGTAAGAGATAATGAAATATGTTTTCAAACCCATCAATCTTAATGATACCCAACATCACTGAAACAGAAAAGGAAACTGCATTCTAAAAGTCTTCACCAAGGGGTAAGAAGAGAGAATGTGCATCATTAAAGAAGAAACACAGCCCTCCCCCCACTTCTAACCCTCATAAAGTCCAGCACGAGCAGACACATTTTAGTGCTATTTTTAATTTAAAGGGTTAAAAATCTAAATCTTTTCTAGTCCAGGTATTTCTATCTATCTGGTGAAAAATGACTACTGATAATGGAGGATCTCATCAAATCTCATTTATTTTCCAGCATTTCCACCATTCACTTCTTTGCATTCCACACAGGCCGGACAGGGCTCAAAGCCTGATAAGCCCCAGCTTCCCAGCGCAGCAGCTCAAGGCTGCAGTTTTTAGACTGCAAGTCACACAGGGAAATATCTCCATTCCTACTGGCAAAACCTTGTCAAGTGAAACTAACCAAGCAGTCACCACCACCATTTTGAGTAGTACTAAAATTCTTTAAACCATTTTTCCCCACAAAATCAAAATATTGACTAGAAAAAACATCTCTCTACATGACGGCTCACGATCTTCTTGTTCAAAGCATGTGGGAGGCTGCTGGAGGAGAAGGCAAGGAGTTTTCAAGATCCAAGGCAATATCAGAATATTGCTAGCACCCAGGTATAGTCTGTGGACCGCCCTATTCTCTTGCTGACTCCAGGAAGGGCTGCCAGCAAAGTTTCTATTTTCTGCCAAGAGACACTGGTTTGCTGAAGGTGAAATGCTCCATGAGAATAGGTTTCTATCTGAACTGCAAAGAAATCAAACAGGCTAATTTCTGATAAAGGTGAGGGGTCTCCCACACGCTTGTCTGCTGGGATCCTTCCCAGCCTACCTAATGGAGAGATGGGGTCCTCAGAGCCTGGAAGTGCTGAGCTTCAGATGCTATAGATCCAAAGTTTCTAGCACCTGAACAGCCTATGATGAGTTCCTGGGTTTGTACTGACTGCTCTGGAGCTGCGACACCCCAGCTTGCAAATCCTCAGCAACCTCCTCTGGACTTCCGTTCCCTCCTCCGTATCTCCCACCTCCAAAGCCCCAGGTAGTTCAGGGAGGCTCAGAAGTGTTTCAGAACAGAGTCAGACAAAATGCCATTTTAATCTCTCCAAGTGAAATTCACGAGTTTCTTACTTTGAAAAAAACCCAATCAAGTCTGACTTTCCTCACAGGCTTGGAACACATTTAAAAATATGGAACATTTTGGAAATTCCTAGGGAAACAGTTCATCTCTGGTGCTAACATCTCAGAGAATTAGGTGCCTGGATGAGGAACAGCTGGTGAAAGCTTAATCCATCAATCCCCTATGCAGGGCTGCCAGCAGCAAGTGGAAGTAAATAATTTGAAGAGCCGGTAATAAGTATCACCTTTATCACAGGGTATCTGCCTTCTAGTTGCATCTGTGGTCAACAGACTGGGAATGGCTTTGGACTCCTCATTTGCTTATGGCTGACCAGACAGTGGCAGTAGCCTAAAAACCAGAAGTGATCCAGGTCAACTTTGGAGATGTCTGTTACTGAATATGACCCTGACAAGGGATCATCTTTTCTGCAGGCCTAAATTTGAAGGCTACCTTGCCATGACTACTCATCCAGGCTAGCATCATCCATGTGCTAAACAGTGTGCAGGTGGTCACAGTAATTTTGACATTTATTGGATTAATCTCTCTCCAACATGGTGCAGAAAGCTCTTCTGCCATGTTCAGCATAGATTTAATGAGATGCTCTCCATGAGAGGAAAACCAACTACTCATCTGATTTGGAATAGCAACGTGTGTTCTTCAGCCCCATCCCTTTTCACCTCCACTTTCACCTCCAAGAAAAACCCACACATTCAAATTCTTGTCATTCAGGAAAAATAATACTTAAGTGTGAGTATTCACTAATAGCAAATGTACTGGAAAAGTCAGAGTTTACATTTTGCATTGCAGGGTTAGTTACATCAATCACTCAGTCATCAAGCTGACGTGATTTTCATACCTAACCACCCTCTTGCTACTCCTAATGTTTACTATTAGTTGACTGTAAACATCCTGCAGAATAATAAAAACACTAAAATAGAACATGCATAATTTCTTCACTGTAAAAATAATTTTCAATACATTTGAGAATTTCCCAACTGACTTATGAACAATTTAAAAAAGGAAAGAAAACACATAAAACACATCCCTTTGCTCTGCCAGTGCCCCACTCTCACCCTGCAGCACCTCACAGCCCCCATAATCTCTTCCCCCTTTCAAGGCACCACAGCATCCCTTTTAATTTGAATGCCATGGAGTGGTTTCTGTGAGGGGGGGGACTAAGGAAGAGCTGAGGTCCCCGTCCATTTCTCTTGCCAAGGGGAGCTGCTTTGAACCTGGGCATGCAAGATGAGCACCCCTCCACCACCATGCTGCCCTGTCTCTGTCTTGTTAAACCACCGGGCAAGCCAGCTCCTCAGACTTGCTTTTGCCTCATGCATCCCAGGGCCTGTCAGCTGCTCTTTGGCCCGGGATGCATACAAGGCAGGCGGCACTTAAAGACAAGGACTCATTTTGTTAAGCTAAGTGGCACCTGCAGGGCTACAGCTGGGGAAAACACACACAACCGCTTCTGACAAGTAAGTTTAAACAAGACGACAGGGGAGTCAGGAGACCAAATGTAGGCAAAGTCCTCTTCCACCAGCATAAACAGGGAGGTAGGCTGGTGTGTTAACACAGCACCGGGAGGGCATTACTACAGTGTGACTCCTCTCCTAGGGAGACAGCTGAAAGAGCAAAGATCAAATCCTCTTCAGAAGCTACAGCATCTTTCTTTATATCTCAGACTACTAGAAAACGTAACAGACTTACACATGCCTTTGCCTATCTACACAAGGATCTATGTGACTGCATCCTTCCACACCAATACTCATGGCCCAAAACACGGATGGATGCACACAAAGACACATACACTTATAAACCTGTATGCCCAGGAAGACACCTAGTAGGAAAATTCAACCAAATGTTACATGTTTAAACATTTCAAAATTAGGAGTTGCAAAATGTGGCTTTGCATTAATGCAAAAGGAGGGAGACAGGGGAGAGAGAGAGAGGAAGAGATTTCAAATTTAGCATATCTATTGGGATAAGGATTTTTCAATGCAGCCTAAGGAATGAGGACTTGAATTCCCTTGGGTAGGTATAAATGCAAATATAGATATACGCATATACATACAGCCCAGTCTACTAAGTCAAATTACACATAAGCGGTTGGAAATATCAAGCAAAGGATGTTGTAAAGGGTCTCCTTTTGCAAAGGTACACAATCCAGATCTTTTCTAAGCATTCAGAGAAGTTTACTGACTTGTGAGAGACAACAAGAATCGATTACCACCTAATCATCTCTTAGAACTGGATTACAATGGCCATTACACCGTCTCTTGTATGTGCAGTCTCCTCCTTACTTAGTAATTAAGCATCCCTGTAAGCAGCATTCCTGGAGGAAGAGCAGGGTACACCACTGTCAGCAGAAAGAGGAATGGGCCCTTCCTGTACGTAGGACACTTTGATCTTAGCTTGATTCTGCAAAGAAGCTTTCTCCTTTGATCCCGATGTAGCGGGCTCCCATCACTAATTAGAACAGATGCTCCATTTTTTTGTCCCCTATCAGGGAACCAGCCAGCAGAACAATGTTTTGGCTACAGAGGGTCTTTTAGAGTTTCTTCATATTTCCAGGACCAAGTAATTATTCTGGCAACAGATCACTCTGATTTAATTTTTGATGGGTCACTACTGCTTTTCCAAGTAGCACACTCAGCTTCCTCCCCTGCATCCAGGGAGGAGTCCATGTAGGTAGTTCATACAGCATGACACAAGCATGTAGGTCCCAGCCCCGCAACCAGCATTTGCCTCCCTGCTGGGTATGAGGAGGAGGCAGATGCTGCCGCATGTTTGCTAGCTGCCCTACAAGGGTTGCAAGCCTGAGAGGCTTCAGAATATACCAGATGCAGTAAAGCTGAAAGACACAGGCACATCTTAGCACTTTGACTCATACTAAGTTGACTGAAAACGTTCCCAGCTCCCACCCACTGCCACACCTCTCTGCCAGAGATCACCAGCAAGACCAGCAAATCACCTCGGCTGACAGCCCTGTGCGGGAAATGAGGACTTCCACCACCATCACTCCACATCAATAGGCCAGATTGGAACATGAACAGCTGATGCACAATCACCAGTCCATATTACCGTGATGGCAGATGGTCACAGACCACAAGGGCCTCAGAGGCTGCAGAGGCTGTGCCTTCAGGAAGCACTGTGGTCACGCTGTGGAAGTTGTGCTAAGGGCATGTCCTCCTCTACTGCTGGATCATCCCCAGCACCTGGTTTTCAGAGGCAACCATGCTCAGCAAGATATCTGGGTATCACTGGCTGGGTTGCAGTATAGTGCACAGAGAGGGTCTTCCCCCACTGTCTTTAGCTGAGGAGTGTTGATCTCCCAGGACCACAGAAAAATAGAAGTTTCTTTGGAGGGTCATTCATACCATGAAAGTCAAGCTCCTGCCCTGCCTCACCTTCTGGAGGACACTCTACTTTGCAAGTACCCCCAAGAACTGTTGGCAAGTCAGCAGCATTTGGCACCTGCTAGCAGCAACCTCCTGA